TATTCCATTATCCGGCCATTCTTTTATCCGGATCCTACTTCTTTTATCGGCTATTCCCGGCTACTTCTTTTATCCGGCTATTCATTATCCGGCACTTCTTTTATCCGGCTATCATTATCGGCTACTTCTTTTATCCGGCTATTCCATTATCCGGCCATTCTTTTTAACCGGCCACTCATTTCTCCGGCCGCCGCTGTGTCCTAGAGAAGGATCCGAGGGTGAAAATGGCGTGTTTGGAGTCGCGCTAATAATAGAATATATGCGATAGATATTATTGGGCACGAAGGGAGCGAGCGGGGCCGTCTGCACGCGAGGGGAGGAGGTGGAGGAGGAAGAGGAGGAGGAGGAGGGAGAGGAGGAGGAGGAGGAGGAGGAGGGGAAGGAGGAGGAGGGGAAGGAGGAGGAGGAGATGGGGGTCGAGGAGGGGGGGAGGTGGAGGAAGAGGAAGGAGGAGGAGGGAGGAGGGAGGGGCGAAAGTAGAGGTGGAGGAGGAGGAGGAGGAAAATAGGGATAGGGAGAGGGAGAGGCAAAAGTAGCAGCAAAGATGTAAGGAAAAAAAGAAGAGATGTAGATGGAGATAAAGAGAAGGAGAGGAAGAAAAAGAAGAAAATGGAGGAAAGGAGATGGAGAGAGTGATGATGCAGTAGAGAGAGAATGTAGGTCAGAAGCAGAAAGTAAAGGAGAGGGCGATGGAAAGGAAAGAAGAGAAAGGGAAAGGCAGGAGAAGAAGAGATAGAGAAAAAGGGAAAATGAATTCACGGAAGATTAAAGATTAAAAAATAACAGATAATTAAGTAGAAATTCACGGGACAGTTTGATGATCGCACAGCAACTTAACCTTTTGAGTCAGTCAATTCACTAAGTCAAGTCAGTCAGAACAGTACTTCAAATAAGTCAAGTAAGTCAATAAGTCAGGTTAAATCAGTAAATCAAGTCAGTCAGTTCAGTAAGTCAAATAAGTCAAGTCAGTAGGTAGTCAAGTCAGTAAGTCAGTTAAGTCCAGTAGATCAAGTCAGTCAGAACAGTAATCAAATAAGTCAAGTCAGTCGGTAAACGAGTCAAGTCAGAAAGTCAGGTCAAGTCCAATAGATCAAGTCAAAAATAAGTCAAGTCATCAGTAGGCCATCTAAGTCAAGTCCAGAGGTCAAGTCAGCCAGTCGTGTAAGTCCACCGGTCACGGCAGCAACCCCCCCCCCTAAGACAGGCCAAGACCCTGGAGGAAGGTCCCCGGGTCATCGTGGATGTCACGTGACCTCCGGCGGGCGATAAGCCGGCGGTGGGCGGGGCTTAGCAGGCTGATGGATGACCTCCCGGAAGTCGCTGGCTTTTTTTAATTTGTTTTTTATTTTCTTTTTATTTATTATTTTTTTTTGCGAGGCTGTTTATTTATTTTCTTTTTATTTATTTATCTTTTTTGCGAGGCTTGATGCTAAGGCTTTGTTTTATGGTCGCGTCGCCTGTTACGGAGATGCGTTTCGGCGGCGGAGGACACGCACAGGCGCGGGGAACGGGATACGGGGGCGCGGATACTCGGGTATAAACGAATTGATAATAAAACAAACGAAAAGGGAAATAGGTATAGGGAGATAAAACGCATAAACAAGCACACGCACGCATGCAAGTACGCACGCACGCACGCACGCACGCACGCACGCACACACGCACACACACACATACACACACACACACACACACACACACACACACACACACACACACACACACACACGCGGCGCGCGCGGCACACGCACACACAAGCTGGGATGAATGAGAGAGTCTGAGGACATGAGCCTATACATACGTACACGATTTCCCTCCGATGCGTGTACGTCTCGGAGCGTGCGTGCGTGCGTGCGTGCGAGTGTCACGTGACCCGGGGCGGCGATGGTGCAGCGGAAGGAAGGCGAAGGGGGGGGGATGGCGGGAGGCGGCGGGCGCGGGATGGGGCGCGTCACGGGCGGGGGCGCGCTCGCCTCTCTCGCTCTCTTTCTCTGTCTGTCTCGTCTCCTTCTTTTTCTTTTTTCTCTTTCTTTTTTCTTTTCTTTTCTTCTTTCTCTTTCTTTCTTTTCTCTTTCTTTCTCTTTCTTTTTCTTTTTCTTTTCTTTCTTTTCTTTTCTTCTCTTCTCTTTCTCTTCTCTTCTCTCTCTTCTCTCTCTTCTCTCTCTCTCTCTCTCTCTCTCTCTTCTCTCTCTCTCTCTCTCTCACACACACACACACACACACACACACCACACACACACACACACACACACACACACACACACACACACACACACACACATATATACAATATACATAATATATATATCCTTGTTTCCTTTCCTTCCTTAGCCCGTCTCTATTCATTTATCAAAATGAGAAGAAGAAAAAGAAAGAGAAGACAAGACCAAAAAAAAAGCAATATGAGAGCGTCTTCTTCCAATCTTTTCCCGAACCTCAAAAAAAAAAAATGAATTTGCATCTTATTATTTATTCGACCGAAAACACGCCAACTGCAAGGCCGGGGCTTGTTTTTTTTCTGCTTCTGATTCCATCTTCATTTTTATTATCTCTTCTCTCTCTCTCTTCTCTTTCTCTTCTCTCTTTCTCTGTCTCTGTCTCTGTCTCTGTCTGTCTCTGTCTCTCTCTCTCTCTCTCTCTCTCTCTCTCTCTCTCTCTCTCTCTCTCTCTCTCTCTCTCTCTCTCTCTCTCTCTCTCTCTCTCTCTCTCTTCTCTCTCTTCTCTCTCTCTCATTATGATAATTTTTTTCGCCTGGATTAGACATCACATTCGTGGAATTAAATGGTCCGTTCGGGTGTTTGGTCGTGGAGAAAGTGTGGGTTCGGCGGAGGTGTTTACTGTTTATTGTGTGTTCTTTGCATGTGTTGATTGTGGTTTATATATATATAATATATATATATATATATATATATATATATTATAATATATATATATATATATTATAACGTATATTTATGTATATTTATGTATATATGTATGTGTGTTGTGTGTGTGTGTGTGTGTTGTGTGTGTGTGTGTGTGTGTGTGTGTGTGTGTGTTGTGTGTGTGTGTGTTGTGTGCGTGTATGCATGTATGTATGTATGTATATATGTATATGCATGCATTAATATATGTAGGTATGTACATAAAATGTATATGTTTTTTTCTGTTGATTTCCCGGTTGCATGTAGAGATGGTTGGCCTCGCGTGTCAGTCTCCCTTTTTTCTCTCATTTCCCCCTACGGTGTCCGTTCGCTTCCTCAATGCGTTTATCACTTCCCTTCCCCTCAGGAGACGCTGTGAAAATCGCGCTGAAATACCCGCACTCGCCCACTCGGGATCTTGGGATCTTGCACTCACTCATTCATTCATTCATTTAGGGTCTTATGGTAAAGTAGGCATGGTCTTTGGGGGGGAGGAGAGGAGGGAGAGGGTGAGAGTGAGGGAGAATGTGAGGGTGAGGGATGAAGGTGAGGAGGGTCGAGAGGGATGTAGAGGGAGAGGGAGAGGGAGAGGATGTAGAGGGAGAGGAGAGGATAGAGGGAGGGAGAGGGATGTAGGGGAGGGAGAGGTGAGGGATGTAGAGGGAGAGAGAGGGGTGAGGAGAAGGAGTAGAGGGAAAGATAGAGATAGAGATAGAGACAGAGACAAAGATAGAGAGATAGTACAGAAAGACAAGACAAACAAATGGACAGACAAACAGATTATCAGACAGACATAGAGAGACAGACAGACACGAACACGAGACTCCCCGGACGAAGAGGAGAAAACCGTCCATCGCCCCATGAATTCCCTAATGGCACCTGGTCGAAGGCTCACCATGCTCAGCAACCGTGGAAAAAAAAACAGAGAGAAAGTTGATGATATCTTGATGTTATTGCACAAGGTCGTGGGAGATTATTGGTGCAACCTTGCTGGCTGTTGGGACTCTTCGGCCGGGGTCTGCATCTTCTTGTTCTTCTTCTTTTTTTTTTTTCTTCTGGTTGTGATGTAATTGTAACTACCTCTCTCCTCTCTCTTCGTCTTTCTTCTCGCATTCCTTTTTCACTCACCTTCACCTTGACCTTTCTCCTCTCTGTGTGTCTATCTTCTTTTTTCTTCTTTCTTTCTTCTTTCTTTCTCTTTTCTCTCTCTCTCTTCTCTCTCTCTCTCTCTCTCTCTCTCTCTCTCTCTCTCTCTCTCTCTCTCTCTCTCTCTCTCTCTCTCTCTCTTTTATTCTCCCTCTAATCTCCCTGTCTCTCCCTCCCCTTTCCTCGCAATGAACATTTCACACAACTCCCCTCACACGCGGTCGGACTGGCACTCTCCCCTGTAATTATACTTCGGCACCCCTCTTCTCCCCTCCTCCCCACCCCTCTCCTCCCTCCCCTCCCCTCTCCTCCTCCTCCCTCCCATCCCTCCCTCTCCTCTTCTCCCCCTCTCCTCCTCTTCTCCTCCCCTATCCTGCCTCCTTCTCCTCCTCTTCTTCCCTCCCCCTCCTCCTCTTCCCCCTCTCCTCCCTCCCCCTCCTCCCCCTCTCTCTCCCCCGCTATTACTTTGGTCAGTGGCACTTCTTGAGGCGATTATCTCATTAACATTTTATTTCGAGCGTTTTCTGCCTCGCGCGAAGGAGCCGTGATAATAACGTTGAATTCTCGCACAAAGGGGAGTGTGTGTGCGTCTGGTGCGTGCGCTCTGGGGTGTTGGGTGAACGTCCTTGAGGAATGCTTTGTTCTTGTTCTAATTGTCTGCGAGGAGCGAATTCCTGCGGGCGATTTCCCTTTTTGATGACACGGCAATTGCCTCTTTGGGGGAGGATGCGTCTCTCGTTCTGTTTACTCTTTAGGTTGTTTGTTTTTTGTTTCGTATTATGTTTTATTGTTGATGTATGGTTTCTTCAACGCGTTTCCTTTTTCCTTCCAGACTGAGGCATCGGGATGAACTCGAGAGCAAGATGAAGTATTCCTCGAGGCGACTGCAGCGCCAGGGGACCTAGTGCCGCCGGTGCCACCCGGCTCGAGTGCCACAGGCGCGGCCGAGGAGCAGCGTCGCGACCGCCTCAGACGGGAGTCCCGGCCAGCGACGCTCGAGGGGAACACGGGGAGCGGCCGCTGGCAGCGAGGGTGTGCGTGCGTGCGTGCAAGCGCGTGTGTGATGGTGGGGCGTGACTGCCGCGGAGGAAGATGAGCTCGAGCGACGTGGCCGCCGTGGTGGGGGCGGTGCAGTGGGGGGATGAAGGCTCGTACGTGCGGGAGGTGGCCGCCCGCGGACCCTTGCCGCAGCTGGCCAAGGTCATCAAGGGGCAGTACCTGGGCGTGGGCGTGCCCTCCCTGGCCAACCCCGGCCTGGCGTCCACGCTGCTGCTGCTGTCGGCGGGGCGCGGGCTGCGGGTCGCCGCGCAGTGCGTCAAGTTCAAGGAGGGGCGCCGCGTGGTGCCCGTCGGGCCCAAGCTCACGATCCCCGAGTCCTACGACGGCTTCTTCGAGATCCTGAGCGAGGACGGGCGCGCCGTGCGCTGCATGGAGAGCGTGGCGGAGCTGGCCAAGCGGTTCCCCGACTCGGCGCTCGTGCGCGAGAGCATCAAGGCGTACGTGTCGCGCTCCGACGACGTGGACACCATCACGGAGAAGTCGCGCGCCGTGCAGAGCGGCGAGACGCTGGTGCTGGTGGGCGAGGTGATCGGCTCCAAGAACGGCAAGAGCCAGCACCGCTTCCTGCGCTGCTTCGACCAGGCCGGCCAGAACGTGTACCTGCCGTACGACGCGCGCGGCAAGTTCTCGGCCATCGCCAAGGAGGACAACATCAGCGGCGTGCACAGCATCCGCAACCTCCTCAACAAGCGCCTGCCGCTCATGGTGCGCATGGTGCACGGCCGCCCGCCCGTCGGCGCCAAGGCGGCGTCGCAGTTCCTGCCGGAGCTCAGGCTGTTCGCCGCCTTCTCGGAGGAGCCGCTGGCGGCTCTGCCCCTCGGGAAGGACGCCCCGCTCATCCTGCTGCCCCCGCAGGCGCCCCTCAAGCTGGCGCACGCCCGCAACGCCGACCAGGTGGAGAAGACGAAGGAGTTCATGCGGCTGTGCGAGCGCGCCACCTCGCTCCTGCAGGAGGTGGCCGACAGGATCCACGTGTACGACGTGTCGGTGGGCACGAAGGGCGGCGGCATGCGGGACCCGCGGTTCTCCAACTGGCCCGACCAGAACAAGCAGCGCCACAAGCACCACCACCACCACAACCACCACCGGCCGCACCACCGCACCAAGAGCCCCCCGGACGCCACGTCCTCCGCGGGCGGCACCGCCGTCCCCGACGACTACGACGAGATCGACCAGATCTACGACTACGTGCGCGGCTTCGCGCCGCTGCCCAAGCACATCAAGTCCCCGTACGCCAGCGGCGAGCAGTCCACCCCCAGCAGGAGGTCGCAGGCGGCGCCCATGTCCCCCGAGAGGGCGGACGCGAGGCCCACGCCGCCGCCCATCGAGACGATCCCGACGCGGCGCGGCGGCGAGCAGCGGGCGCACGAGAAGCTGTCTCCGTCGGTGCACCCGGCGCTGATCTCGGCGGCGCTGGACCGCGCCACGGAGCGGCGGGTCGAGAAGCGCTCGCGGAAGCCCGAGGACAAGAAGGGCGGCGCCCACCAGCAGGTGACGCCGCAGCTGAGCCAGCACTCGCAGCAGTCGCCGGCGCAGCTGACCTCGCCCTCCACGCCGCTGCAGGAGAAGCCCAGCAACAACAAGCTGTTCGTGAAGGCGTCGCAGCAGCGCTCGCAGAAGGCGCGGATGTTCCGCCACAAGTCGGCGTCGCCGGTGAAGGAGGCGCTGATGGAGGTGGTGAGCGTGGGGCCGGGCGCGGCGGGGGCGGCGGCGGCGTGGCGCCCCCGGCCGTGGGCGTGGGCGGCTCCTCGCCCTCGCCGCTGTTCAAGCTGCGCTACAAGTCGCTCACCAACCTGGCCATGGACTTCGACACGCTGGACTCGAGCACGTCGGGCGGCAAGGGCTCGGCCGACTCGGGCGGGTCGGCCGCCATCAAGGCCAAGCTGCCCGAGAAGCGCAGCCGCAAGCTCACGCGCCCCAAGAGCCTCACCAACCTGGTGTGGGACGGCCGAGGGGGCGGCGGCGGCGGCGGCGCGCCCCCCGACGCCCTCGGGATGACCGGCACCGCCCGCGCCCTCCTCGAGGCGGAGCGGAAGCTGCGGCTGGAGCCGGGGGTGTACCGCCACGCCCGCGACGCGCCCGCGCTCCTGGCCGCCACCACCAGACTCCTGGCGTCGCAGAAGAAGATCGGAACGCTCTACTTATGAGGTGAGTGCGAGGGCCGCGCCGCGTTACGGGGGGGGGGGGGGAGGGGGGGAGAACGCTTCACGGCCGCGGAGGTTCTGCAGAAGGGAAGAAGGGAAGCGAACCTCGGCTGTGTTGTGCACGGAGTGAGGAGTGAGGGCAGGGTTGGATGAGTGAAGAGCGAGTCAAAGAATGAGTGAAGAGTGAGTCAGAACGAATCGCTGAGTGAATTAATGAGTGAATGAATGAAGAGTGAGTCAGAGAATGAATTGCTGAATGAATGACTGAGTGAGTGAGTGAGAGCGAATGAGTGAAAATAAAAGAGGGATTGAAGATGGATTGGGAGACTGAGAGAGTGTATGAGAGTGAGAGTTAACTGGCGAGTGAGTAGATGAGTGACAGAATAAATGAACATGTGAATATCAGAGTGAGTAATTGCTGGCGACGTGCAATGAGCCAATGAACTGATAACGTCTGCAATACAGTTACTCGTTATTTTCATCGCACTATTCCAATTTGCATTTAAATTTCATTATTTCAGTATTATATTATTATTTTTTTCCGTTATCTTCAATCTCCTTTTCTTTTTTTTTCATTTACTTCTTTACTTCTTACGTCTTTGTCACCATGTGTATGTGTGTATGTATGTTTGTTTTTTTGTTTTTTTTTTTTTTGTGGTGAGTGTATGTGTAAATGTGTGTGTGTGTTTTTTTGTGTGTGTGAGTGTATGTGTAAATGTACATGTGTGATTTTGTGTGTGTGTGTGTGAGTGTATGTGTAAATGTACATGTGCGTGTACGTGTGCGTTGAGCGTTCGATCTCCTAAATAAAAACTTGACTAATTAATTTTGATTATTTGCCCGAAAACAAAAGCAAGAAGCGCCATTGAATTCATTAGCGATAAAAATACACATTTTCCACCCGAATTAGCATGAACTATTATGATTAATGTGAGTAATTAGGCAAAAAAAGCTGTAAGAAAATGAAAAGGTGAGTTTCGGAATAAGATTATTACTGTTATCATGGTATTTGATGATATATTTTTTTAAGCTTGTTATTATTGCTGTTTTTTTTTTCTTCTGCGAATACTGATGCAAACTCAGTCATTCGTTTTACTCGCCATTCTTCTCTTTTATTATTGTTGTTATTATCCTTTTATACTTTTTTTTTTAAAGAGGTCATACTGAGGCAAATATTAGTGGGTTCGGTGTCGTTTTTTTTTTCTCTCTCTCTCTTTTTCCTTTGAACTATGTTAGGATTGTCATGTGGAGGGGGGGGGGTGTATAAAGCAAAGTGAGAAGAAGAGAAGAGAAGAGAGAGAGAGAGAGAGAGAGAGAGAGAGAGAGAAGAGAGAGAGAGAGAGAGAGAGAGAGAGAGAGAGAGAGAGAGAGAGAGAGAGAGAGAGAGAGAGAGAGAGAAAGTGACAGAGACAGACAGACAGAGAGAGAGAGAGGAAGAGAGAGAGAGAGAGAGAGAGAAGAGAAAGAAGAAAGAAAGAAAGAAAGAAAGAAAGTGACAGAGACAGAAAGAAAGAAAAAGACAGAGATACAGAGATAAAGACAGACAAACAAAGAAATTAAGAGAAAATAAAGAAAAATACCCCCCTCCCCCCTCCCCTCCTCAAAAAAAAAGAGAAAAAAAAAAAAACACCAAAAATGGAATGCACATTACATTAAAAACAAAGGAATTTCGTTTGGACGCGATTCCCAAACTTACACCAAAAAGGAATGCACATCACATAAAAAAAAAAAAAAAAAAAAAAAAAAAAAAAAAAAAAAAATCGTTTGACGCGATTCCAAGACTTACGACTTCTTACAACGGCGCGTCGCGCTCCGTCGGCCGTTGGCGAAAGAGGCCACAGGGGCACGCGAGGGGATTAGAAGGTAATGAGAGAGTAAGTGGATGAAGGAAAGAGGGAGGGGGAGAGGGGGAGGGGAGAGGGGGGGGGAAGGGGGGAGTGGGAGGGAGGGGAGGGAGGAGGGGAGGGGGAAGGAGGGAGAGGGGAGAAGGGAGGGGAGTTGGGGAAGGAGGGGAGGGCTGTAAGAGATATGATTAGACATACATACATTACATATCAACAAGAATAAAAAAGAAAGAGAAAGAGAAAGAGAGAGAGAAGAAAGTAAGAGAGAGACGCACGGAATCAAGCAACCGGACAAAGAAAAAGAAAGAGGAATCTGGAAGGCACGGAAGCCCAAGCCTAAACACAGACACACACACACAAAGTACACGAATTGAACAAATCGATGCCTAACTTCGCCCTAATGGACACGATCACTCAACATTGCATGGCGACGTCGGTGAGCTTGCAACGTCTGCTTCATTGTCAGCGGGTTTTGTTCATTATTGGATGTTGTTCTTTGTTCATTATTGGGTGTTGTTCATCAGGGTTTGTTTGCGTTATCGGTGTTGTTCTTTTAGATTATTTGTTATAGTTGTTTTGGGGGATGATGGGTTTTTTTTCTTGGGGGGATGGTAAATGTTATTGGTGTGTTGTTATTGTTGTTTATGGCGTTTTGTTGTTTGTTTATGGTGTGTTTGTTGTTGTTTATGGTTTTTGTTGTTTTTGTTTTTTTGTTTTGTTGTGTTATGGTTGTTAATTATAGTTGTTATAGTTGTTGTGTTTTGGGGACGATAGTTGTTTATTGTGTGTTGTTTGTTATTGTTGTTTATGGTGTTTTGTTGTTGTTTATGGTGTTTTGTTGTTATTTATGGTGTTTATTATAGTTGTTATAGTTGTTGTTGTGTTTTGGGGACGATGGTTGTTATTGGTGTGTGTGTTGTTATTGTTGTTTATAGTGTTTTGTTGTTGTTTATGGTGTTGTTGTTATTTATGGTGTTTATTATAGTTGTTTTATAGTTGTTGTTTGTGTTTTGGGGACGATGGGTTGTTATTGGTGTGTTGTTGTTATTGTTGTTTATGGTGTTTTGTTGTTATTTATGGTGTTTATGATTGGTAATGTTTATGATTCATAATGATATGTGTTTATTAATAAGCTGTTGCTGTTGTTGTGGATGGCGGTTGATAAAGATAAATGTTATTCATATATTGTTGTTATCATTGTTTTTGTTATTGTTGCTGTGTCTGTTATCGCTATTGTTGTCGTTTCTGTTGTTAGTTTCCAAAATATCTCGTCTGTTTACTTGCGCCGAAAAGGTAAACAAGAGAAGATGGTTTGAGGGAGTGGAACGTAAATATGCTCAGGCCAGACGATACTTCAGAGGAGGAAGGAAGGAGGAGGAGGGAGGAGGGAGGGAGGGAGGGAGGAGGGAGGCGAGGGAGGGAGGGGGAGGGAGGGAGGGAGGAGGGAGGGAGGGAAGGAAGAGGGAAGAGGGAGGAATGGAAGGAAGGGGAGGAAGGAGGGTAGGAGGGAGGAGGAGGAGTGGAAGGAGGGAGGAAGGAAAGGGAGGAGGAAGGAAGGAGGGAGGGAGGGAGGGAGAAGGAAGGAAGATATGCGAAAGGAGCAAGAAAGAGAAGAGAAAGGAACGCGAGAAAAGAGAGGAAGGAGGGGAGAAATGGAGGAATGGAGAAGGAAGGAAGAGAAGAGAACGGGAGAAAAGACAGGAAAGAAGGGGAGGGAGAAGAGAAATTGGAACTGAAGGAGAGAAAGAAGAGAAGGGAATGCGAGAAAAGATGGGGGTGAAGAGGCAAAATAGGAGGAGGAAAATGTGAGAGAATGAAGAGGGAAGGAGAAAATAAAGAAGGGTAGGGGAAAGACGGAGAGAGAGTTAAAAACGAACGGAAAAAAGAAAATATGGAGAAGACAAGATGGAAGGAGGAACGAAAGGAACGAAAAACATAGAATGAAAAAGAGAAAACGAGAATAAAAGACGGGGAAATTCGAAGGAGGGAAGAGAGACAGAGACAGCGAAACAAGAAACAAGAAAGAAGAAAGACAAAAGAGCAGAGACAAGAGAGAAAAGAAAGAAGAAAGACAAAAAGAGCGAGAGAGAGAGAGAGAGAGAGAGAGAGAGAGAGAAGAGAGAGAGAGAAGAGAGAGAGGAGAGAGAGAGAGAGAGAGAGAGGAGAAGAGAGAGAGAGAGCAAAGAAGAGAGACGAGAGAGAGAGAGAGAGAGAGAAGAAAGAGAAGAACAGAAAGAAGAAAGACAAAAAGACCGAGAGAGAGAGAGAGAGAGAAACGCGAAGAGAAACAGGGCCACCTTTTCACAGCCGCGCGGAAATCGGCGTTCAGATTCCGTGGTCTAATAACCTCACTAACGACGCCATAACAAAGCTATTTGATGTCGGCGGCGCGCACTCTGGCACCCGGAACACCTGCGCGTGCTTGGTGGTGGGGTGTGGTGGGGTGGGGGCTGGGTTGGTGGGTGTGGGTGGTGGGGTTAGGGGGGGTTGGGTGGGTGTGTGTGGGTGGGTGGTGGGGGGGGTGGTGTGTGTGTGTGTGGGTGTGGTGTGGTGTGTGGTGGGTGTGTGTGGTGTGGGGTGTGTGGTGTGTGTGTGTGGGTGTGGGTGTGGGTTGTGTTGTTTGTTTTTAGTTGTGCGTGTGTGGGGGTGTTTGTGTTTGTTTGTTTTTAGTGGTGTGTGAGTGGGTGTTTGTTTGTTTGTTTAGTGTGTGTGGGGATGTGTGTGTGTGTTGATTGTTTTATTTGTTGAGTGTGCTTTTGGGTGGGTGAGGATGATTGTAGGGGGGGGGAAGGTGTGTTGTGTGGTGTGTGTGTGTGTGTGTTGTGTGTGCGTGTGTGTGTGCGTACGTAAAATGTGTACACACCTGTTTGTACGCGCGTGTTCGTATGTATCCATTTTCTTTATGTGTATTTGCGTGTACGCATTGCCCTCCCCTATAATCCCACCGTGTATCACCGTGAATGTGCACATGGGCAGCGAGGCGCACATACCGTGAGAGTCATCAGCTGAGTGGTGGGTGTGGCCGCCCACAGAACAGCTCCTCCGCCCCCCATGCACCCCTCTTCCCACCTCCGCCAGCCCACGCTCTCCCCAACCACTCTGCAGCTCCTCCCCCCCCTTTCGCGATGCCCCCTACCCCTCCTCTACTCCCCCCCCCCCCCCTCCTCCCCTGCAACCC